ATAGAATATTTTTTTATAATTTATTTTGTGATTCAGATATTAAATATGCATTTTTTAATTAAACTAATTATTATATATTTTTATATATTAAGTCACATTAAAATTGTGAGGGCCAGGGGGGCTAAGAACTGTACTTTAAAATTCTGAGGGGGCTTAGTCCCCTATAGCCCCCCCCCAGATTTCCGCCTATGATGATAAATAAATATAATGTATTCAAAAAGTCCTCACTTGTTCCTTAAGAAACTTAGAGCCTTAAATCTCAATCCTAATTCGATCAATATTGCAAATATAATTTAACCATTGCAGATAAAAGATTTACAATGGATATTGAATATATATTATTTTTATACTTCGTTATACCTATTGTAATGATATAAATAATAGTTATCTACCMTTTTAATTTTGAATTTGATTTTATTGAAAAAAGCAACAACATTAATACATATTTGGATGAAATTGTACTAAWTTTTTTCTTTCATCTTCAAGCATCGCGTTATATTAGAATAGAATTCCGAATATATAGGCGCATTTTTTTTGTTCTATAAGTTAACGAAAATAGTTTATTCGTTGCAAGGAATAACAAAAGTTTGTTTAAAAAATCAATTCACTGTAGTCTGTATAGGTATACCGTATTATACGTCACATAATCGTTCCAGGCTGAATTGGTCAATGGTCACGAATCATGATAATTTTATAGAATATAAATATCGCGATTTACGATATAACTCAAATATAGTATCTCAAATCAATAATCAATTTATTAATACTTGTCTTGTACATTAAGAATATTCAAGATTAAGTTGCATCTTCACTGATGTACCTAATACAGACTACAGTGATACGTACCATTGATTATAAAATATAGTATTTACATAAATGTATTATCATTATTATTAATATGTATACGCCTAAAGGTTTGGCTAGCAGATTTTTCGCTGAAACTAAAAAATAAAAATAATAGAAATTTTATAATGTAATACGAGTATATAATATGTAAATTATAAATTATTGTTGGWAGTGTTGGTACATGCATACTAATAGTATTATATATTATATTATTATGTGACTATTGGGTTATTGTTATTGGTATTGCTCTCGGTTAGCGGCTATAACGCAGAATCAAGTCATCCCAACAAGCACGTTATACATATTTTATTATCCAATAAGAACAGTAGTTGTTATTGTTTGGCACGTGTCCGGCCGGTGGTTGTCTTCCCGGGGGAGTTGGCGGAACGCCGAAAACGTGTCGACGTGTCGTCGCCAATATCTGAAGTAAAAAAGTATRTATCTATATTGTGAAACCTCCTCCTTGTAGACACACACACGTCATCAATATAACATTAGTATCTGTTGTGTTATAATCGGAATCATCATCACGTTCTAGAGAAGTGTGTTAAATTATTCACAGAAGTTATAATATGAAAAAACTCGGAAATCGATAGCGCACATAACGCACACACACATAAAATATGTAATATTTTTGTTTGTTTCTCTTATACATAWCCAAAAACAATAAATATTATTTCGGGTTATGCATTTAGATCACCTAACTTTAAAATACATTTTAGATTCTGAAGGGAGCAAAGGGGTGCAGATTTCAGAACACGCGATTCTATTATAATATAATATGTTTGTTTGTTTGTTTGTTTAAAAACAATGTTTGCCTGTATTGGCTGTATTAACAATTTTATGATAAAACGTAAAAAAAAATATATAATAGGTTTATCGAATTTGTGAATACCTTACGCTATAAAATATAGTTAGGTATGTGTATCAGTCTATAATGTAACAATAACTTAAAATTTATTTAAACATTTTTAAAGATAAGAATAAACAAAAAAATTACTCTGGGACTATGATTAATTGTACAAAATAGTTTTTTCTATAGAAATTAAAATCGTATTCATTTTACCACCAATAA